GGAAGCAATAATATAATTCTATGCGATTAGTAGTACATAGTTTATTTATATAATATGCTCTTACGGAGGCACTCGAACCCGGGTACATTAGGTTCTAATATTATAAGTGATCAGCGACAATTATAAATCAACCGAAACCGACGGAATGACATTCGACTGCAACGTTATGGATCACGAAGAGATTTCCGGCCTCGAATAGGTTACGGTAGTATAATGAGTGTTGGTGGGAATTTGCATTCGAGTTTCCAAGACGAAATCCAAAAGAAATACGGAAAACAAGAAAAACATGATGAAAACTTTCGTTAACTGATTAAAAATAATGATTAGATAAACGACGTGCCACATTCCAGTATATTTATTCTGCAGTCGATTTCCGCACATGAAACGTGACACGTAAAAATCAGAGAATATAGAGTCCAGTCTTTTCGAACAACACGAGTCCGTTGTACGTAGATATCGTTTCTTGATCACTGATCGATGACAATCTAAAATCGATCGGATGAGATTATCACTGGCGTATATAATGTTCAGCGTAGATACATATAAATCGGTATAATATTATACAGTCCATGTCGAACCGCAGATATATGTCCCGGGAAAATTTCATAAATATAAATAATTACCTAATGGCTTATTTTGCCTGATTTAATAATTGTCCAATATTGTTGGATAGGATTTTATAATCCAGCTTGGTTTCAGTTCAATCCATAAAAGTGGGTCTTATTCGTTTTTTTTTTTTACCATAAGACTACGCGGATCATGATGAAAATTGAAGAATGTGGTTCATAATGACAAATAGTTTCTTATATAGAAAAAAAAAACAGTTTAAAGAAATCAATGAAACATAATTTTTTGAATATTTGGATTTCAATAAAATCAACAAAACCAATTTTTTATTTTTATAAAGTATAACAAAATTACATTAACCGTATATTAATTATACAGTATGAAAAGTATACAGTTTGTATTTCAATAACCGTGCACCGACTAATTTATTTGATTTGTATTAATACATTTTATCTAAGCGTAAGAAATCACTTGATAAAATTACATCTATCGTTGTGTTGATTCTAACTATAAATTGCAATCGGACTACGTGTTGAAATTGATTAAATAGTTTTGAAAAATCTCTTAGCATTTTGAACAATTATTCGGAATGTAGAAGAAATTGTTAAGTAATAATTAATGCCACGAAGAAAAATTTAATGATTACAGTTTGAAAGCATTAGGTATATAGATTTATTCAGGAAAGACTATTCAAAAATATAAAAATAAATCTTAAAATAATTTATGAATTCGTTATATATTGGATAATTTTCTGTGAACAACACATATTATTTGTTACATCTAATGTCTGACGAAGTTTATAAAAAATTTAGATATGAACAGATATTCGATTATAAATTAATTAAAAAGTATTTATACGCATGTAAAATTCGATTGGCCGTTCGAGAAAGAAAAATATGTTTACCGTCGTGAAAGCAAGTCGCAGGGAAAAACGATTGGAAATTTAAACAAAACGATTACGAACGATATTACCGTATCGACTGCTTCGAATCGCTGTTGTCATCGTCTCGGGGGGTACTTGTGATGGCCGTACGTGTACGTACAGAGTAAATGAAGCGTCGCGAGAAAAAAGGTGCAAGTCGCGGGGAAAACGAGACGTCGCCATGGAAGCAATGGATTTCCCGACCAATTAGGGTCGACACAGTTACGCCCTTGTGGTCGATTGCGTGTGCGTCCGCTGTTTTCGTTCATCTTTTTTTGCCACTCTTGGTATCGTATACGTTTATACCGCGTCATACCGCATGGCTAATAATAATAATATTATTATTATTTTTAACGCACGCACACATACATTTATATGTATAGATATACGTGTAGGCACGCACGAGTATACGGAATATAATACATATATAAAACGTCCGCAAGCAAGGGGTCGAATTCCACCCCAATCGTTATGTTATGTATTATACACTCCGCCTACCCTTAGCCACGAGGAGCAGATCGCGTAACCGACATGGTGTGTATAAAACCTGCAGCAGGTACTAATAGCATATTATGTGTATATTTAAGGTAATAATAAAAAGGACTTTCTTGTTTTCTGAATAATCGCGCGCACGTCCTGTGTGTACCTATATGTCGTGTAAGGATATACATCAACGCGTGCACAAAAGGGTAGGATTGTATAATAAATAACATACCTACCCTTTTCTTCCTCTCTCTCTCTTTCTCTCTCTCATCTGTTGTTGTACATTATATTAAATTATTTATTTACCCGGCGGTCGTTATTGCGAGCGCGACAGATGAATTAGATGCTTATCTGCGCGACGGCGACCCACGGGTGACGGTTTTTCACTTAGACGGTAGAGCATACGATTGATTATATATACACCTATTTTATTTAGTATACGAACAATAACGCGTCTATATATCTGAATGCACCCCGCTCGCCTGTAATGTAATAGGCACCATTCCATTATACGCCTCGACCCAGCGTGTGCCGTGTGATACGTTTACCAGTATTTACGAGTCAATTAGATGATTAAAACGATCGAATAAATAATGGACAGAAAAAAAGTGCACCATGAAAAATGTACGAAAACAAATAATAATTATAATAATACGCCGAATAGTAATACGTTATTTGTACTAATTTCAGAAACTTCACCCACTGCTTGTCTGCACCGTATTCGCCTTCGAAGGGTTTATTGGCGTACGTCGGACCCGTTGCAAGATCCCATTTACTATCCGATGTTTTCACGTGTTCGTTCAATGGAGGCCAAAATTAATGGTCGATATAGCTTTTTTTTTTTTTGTTCTTAAGTTTTAGTTTAAATGCTATTTTATTTAAATAAAATAATCTAATATAAAAATACAAAATAAACATAATACAACGTGAAAATGTTTTTTTAATTAATATGAAATAATGATAAGACAAATTATGATTAAAATGGTTATTTACGTTATTTTACTGTGATTATTAAAACTTTAAACAAATAGATTATTTTACCTTTATATAATAGTACAATTATCTAGTTTGCTTCTATTCTTTATATTTACCTATTAATTACATTTAAATATTAAGTTTTTAAAATAGTTTTAACATTATTGCCCCGATGTAATTAGCTTATCTTTTTAAAAAAATATTATTATAGTAATAAAATTTGTTTTGAAGAAAAATGTTTTCTATAGAATTAAAATAGCAAATAAATTGACTAAATATGAAATTCGTTATCGAATATTATCGATCATTAATGCTTGCTTTATTCTACATGTGAAATATCTTCATTAAAATTAATGAAAATGTTTATAGTGATTCCTTGTTAGGATATTAATATTGTATTATACAACATAACGCATAGGTACCACATGTTTATGCATAATTTCGCGATTAAAATTAGCTCTAGAGTAATAAAGTGAAATCTGTACACGAATTTTTTTCAGAATCATTTTTACACATTTCACTGATGTTCTATAATTATCTGTACAATTAACGAATTTTCAACTTAGTGAGTGTCCGTTACACAGAGGTGTTTACTGGAATGTGCATTCGAACAAATATATGAGTATACATATACCGCGGTTCAGTTGTACTCGCACGTTATTAAACATTGTACGTGTGTAGATACACATTTTTGTATGGAATTCGTATTACTGTTCGGATTACTGACGTTTACCACAACAAAATCATAATCTTTCTTGTGGTGTCACGTAAAATTAAACAATATAAGTAGAGAAAAATCTTGAATCTTATCAAGTACCGGTCATAATAATAATTCTAGGTATCTACGTCAGATTTAAAATTAAATCAACTTTTACTGATTAATAATTGTAAAATACAATAATATATCTAATAAGGATTTCTGACTAGTATGGCAGTATACGTTATAATGGGAACCGACGAAATCTCCATTGCGCACGACGACAGTACCTACTTACACACACGTCATTATTTATGCCACCTATTTACACGCATAGAGTTCATACTAAAGAGTTATTGCGATACGACGTTAAAAATGCTTCATTCTTTAAAACGATCAATCAAAAAAAAAAAAAAAAATTGATGACAATTTAAACGTATTGAAAATAACTGGTATTTATATTTTACCAACAGGTTATTAATTTATATTATAATTATAATATAGGTTGATTTAAAAAAGAAGGATATTGGTAGAAAAATCGATTGTTGGATTTCATTACCTACATTACGACAACACTATTATTTATTTAAAAGGCACGGAAATCGGAACATGGGATCGTATTCAAAGGTTAATTAATATTCATTTGTCCATTAAGTGTGTATCTAAAAGTTCATAAAATAATTTTATCGAATATTTCTGTGAAACGCCGTACGAATTTAGGTACATTGTATACGATAAGTAATGATGATAAACATCAGCTCACACATAATTTTTTTTTCTTTACCTATAAGATTAGATAATATATTATGATAAAATACGTATGAAAATTACCGTGTTATACGATTTCTTAATTCGACTAAATCAATGTGTAACGAGTAACAATGAATAATAATAAATGAAAAATATTTAAGTAGCATACAAATTGTCGCTTTTAGTGAACATTTAATTTAACTGTACACAACGGTTTTCTCGCATTTGGAACGTTAACTGATCGAAAGCAGGTTTTAAGATTATGTCAGTTTTTCATAAAATTACATAACTATTACTGAAACGAAAGTCGACAAGCGGTTTATTAATAAATTATTACTGGAAACAATTCAGTTATAGCTCCATTTAATATTAAAATAAAACTAATGCGAACTCAATCCAACAAAACGTTCGTAAGCTTATACTACAGGTACTGTGAGCATCTATTGACCACGAAAACTTGATTTTTATGATCTGACCAAATAGTTGTTTGCGCAATTATAGTGCATAATTATAGAGCTAAACGAATTTAGTGTTAACAGTAAACACAATTACGATCATAATTATTGGCACGCGTGCGCGCGATGTTAACTGTTTGGAAATACTTACACGAAAAGTTTGTACGCGTATCTTGATTTTCTTCTCCTCGTGACCTGAGCGGAGACGTGAGAAACGAACAAGAGTGGAACACAGTCGAACTATCGAATCGACGGACGATATTGAATTGCGATTAGAAAAAATAAAATATACTATTTAGAAAAAAAAACGAAACCAGCAATGTGACTCGCGGACGTGAACGAAGTAGTGGTGCGCGCTGCGGATCGACTGATGGTGGTGAGGCCGTGCGCTGGCAATCGGTTTGAAGAAGTCTTTAGAGGCGGGGTCTACCACGATCTGGCTGTCGCCATGTACGTATACAATTTTTCTCTTTTTCGTATTTTCTCTCACCCCTTCTTCACCCCTATCGTCCGACTGTTGCACGCGTGGCTCACCGAATCGTGTATCATGGAGATTTTCTTTTCTTATTTATTTATTTATTTATTTACATTTTTTCCACTCTAAACCGGGTCCATTAACCGCCGTCTAAACTCACATGCTTTACGCGCATACACACACACACACACACACACGCACATACTCAAACACATACGCGCGCAATTATTAGATTAGTGGAGATTTTTGGCTTGAAATAACGTATTTCACGAAAACATCACATCAACTGCAGTCACGACAATGCATCTATGTGGCCAACTACATATTATTAATATCCACAATACTATATACGCACTATAAACGTACATGTTTGTATTTATATACATTAAAACTATATGATTATTTTCGAGCGAAGTACTGCACCCGTGGAAACCAGAAATGTAACATAATTGTATAAGTAAAGAGTGTAATATTATCGAAATTCGAGTTATTCAAATTCATCGTTTGTAGCCAAAAAAGTCGTAATAAATCAAATGAATTACGCCTTTCTAAAAAAAAAAAAAACTCTATAGATCAAAAAAACCGGAATTAGTCGTGTATAAATTGACATTTTCAACAAATCGCCGAGTGCGAAATTGACACGACTTGAAATAAGTAAATCTAGTATTTTTTGTATTTTCTAAGTCATTGTAAATAATCCGCTCAAAACTTAAAAGCAAACATTTTGGTCAAAACATGTAAATATATATCTATATGTATGGTTGAATAGTATAATTAAATCATTCATAAACATATTATAATTTGTAATAATTATTTCGTACACATACCAATGTTGAATACCACTAATATAATTATATTGAATTAGTAGTATCCAGGAAAATTGTTCACTCCCAAGGAAAACGAATTTTTTTGTTGCTTATTAAAAAAAAAAAAATTAAACACTTCCAATTAATAAAAAATATGCAATATCAAAAGCAACTATTTATTGTTATGTTTAAAATTCACATTATTTACTGTTACATATTTCTATAAACACATAATTAAAAAAATGATTATTAAATTATTTTCAATAATAATTTTTTTTTTTTTGAAACTGAATTAAAAATTATATAACATTTGAATCGTGAGTTCTCCATCCCTTCCCTAATTCATAACTATTAATTTACAACACATTTTTGGCAGTTTTATAGACATTTAAATACTTTTCTTCAGGATTCAAAATATTTTCACTCCACCGCTGAATGTATGACAAATGGCAGTAATGTATAGTGTATCCAAGTCAAATGTATCAAAATCTTTGATTTTGATGATATGACATTTTACTATTCCACTTTGTTAAAAACTTTTCTAAGCTAAAACATCCACGAGATTATGTTTAGAATAAACTTAAGTTGAAAACTAATTAAAAAGAAATATGAAGGATAAAATTGGCTAATCTATATAAGAGTTTTCTGGCTGTTAATATACCAGATAACCATAATAACATAACACATAACTGAACAGGGTCGACAGGATTCAGAAATACAAAGTAACTAATTTTAACTGCTAATATTGATCATGTGTTTCAAATAGTAATACCCTTTCTGTCAACAAAATACAATCACACACTGCCTGTACTAAGAGTCGTGATTTCACGTGAAATTAACACAAATAAAAGGGAACTCGTGTACCCGTTATACCTAATATGGGGTCCCGTATAATTGTATATTTGCGAATCTTAATAACCGTGTATTGTACAACCCGTAAATCTAAATATCTAAGGTTTAAATATTACTGTCCATCAAGAGCTCTTATTGACCCCCGGGGTTGATGAATTCTGGGCTTCCATTGCTTATACTTATTTGACCTAGATATGCATACCACTGTAGTATATTACTAGTATTCAAGTTTAATAATACGTAAATAAAAAATAACATAGTATTTGATTTGAATAAAATATTTTAATAATTAAATATAGAAAATATAAAATCATAATATGAAAAACATAATAACCCATATAAAATATGGTCAGGTTAAGATTTGGCCATACCACTCATATAACTATATTATTTAGCTCATTACACACTTATAAAATCAATTATTTTATTTAGCATATGGTTTGTGGTTACATGCATTAGAATAATAATATGGTAACGTACAGTAAATTTAATTAATATATAACAGATGAATAAAATAAAAATAAACAAAAAAAAATTGGATAATTAGTAGTATGAGTAATATTAATAAGGTAACAATAAGGTATTAGAGATCTAGTTCTAGTTCCTTCAGCCATTTAATAAATTTTGGAGGGGTTGTGAGGCAGTCGATTCTGGGACCTCGATAGGCGTGAATGGACATACAAAAGCTATGTGATAGATGGTCTGCTTCTCTGCTCCACAGTCACATTCTGGTGAGTCTCTCGTGCCCCATTTGTGTAAGGAATCTACACATCTACCGTGCGAGATTTGTATTCTATTAAGTGTGCACCACAGATTGCGCTGTAGGTCAAATCCTGTGGGTATATGTCCTGGTGATATGTTACCTAGGATGTTGTCGTTCTCTGCCGTGGCTGCCCACGTTTGTTCCCATTGCGTCATCATATCGAAGTTTGCGTTGATTAAGTCCTTAGCTGTTTTTTTTTTGGGGGGGGGGGTTTCTAGACTTTAATCATGTTTTGGTTACATCATCAAATCATCAATAAAATTATTAATGGGCAGTTCATGATTGAGATTTATTTTTGAGAGTTCTTTAACTAAGGCGCTCGCTCTGCAAAGTGGTGAGGGGGCAATTGCTGTTAATGTTGGGAGCCAGTGAGTAGGTGTCGATTTTATTGTACCAAATATTAGTCTCATGGTAGTGTTTAGTTGAGTGTCTACTTTTGCCACATGAGCGCTGTTTAGCCAGATGGATGCACAGTATTCAGCTACTGGGTAGACCAAACCAAGAGCCGAGCATCGCAGAGTGTGAGCCGTTCACATCATTCATGTGAACTTTAAATGATCTATTAGTAAGCATAGTGGTGATTAGCTAAACGGTATTTCGGTAGCGAATAGTTTGAAGAAGTTTATACAACAGGCCGTGTCTCCAAACGGTATCGTGAGCAGCTGTTAAGTCGATAAATACCGCTGCAGTTTTTAGGCGGTTTTGAAAGCCTGCCTCAATATAAATGGTCAGTGAGAGGACTTGATCGGAACAGCTTCGGCCCGGCCTGAAACCGGCTTGTTCCACCGGAATGATATTTAGTATAATTGGCCTTATTCGATTGTAGATTATTCTCTCCAGTAGTTTATAGCACACACTGAATAGTGCTATTGGTCGGTAGTTTTCTGGGCGATCGTTTGATTTCCCGGGTTTGACGATAGCAATTATTTTAGATTTTCTAAATTCTGGAGGCAGCGTACCGGATTGTTGGATGTCAGTGTAAAATTTAGATAGCCATCTTCTGGTGTTAGGACCACAGTTAATCAGAAATTCAGGGTGCATTCCATCTGATCCTGCAGCCTTCCCCGGTTTTAAGCCCTTTAGAGCTGTGGTAATTTCCGCTACTGAGTAAGGAGCAGAAAGTTCATAGATTTGGGTGCATTCTTTTTTAAGGTCTCTAAAGCGTTTTCTTATCTGATTTGTGTGTCTCTTTTTCGAAGGCATTCTTGATACATTTACTATGTGGTTAGCAACTTGGTTAGGTGAGATTGATGTTTCCACTCGTCTAGTGTGTTGCTTACCTCCCAATTTCTTGAGAAGGCTCCATGTTTCCTTACTAGAATGTCTGAAATTAAGGGCTGTCATTGTTTTATTCTATTTTTCCTTTCTGGATTCATCAAGGCTAGTTTAGAGGTCGTCCGCTTCATCAATGTTTCCGTTCATGTATTCTCGGTATAGGTTTTCGCTTAGTTCGTTTCAGCCGGGGATGTAATCTTTCCTATAGCCTCTTGGTATATGTTTTTTTGCAATAGTAATGATGAGTCCCAAAAATCTATTGTAGTTTGAACGTTTAGGTGGGATAAACCGGATGCATTTGTCTAGTTCCTTTACATCGTCTTCCCATGCAGCTTTGTTTAAGTTCCATCTGGGGTAGGGCGTGGAGTTAATTAGTGGGATTTGAAGCCCGATTTAAATTAGGATAGGTCGTTGTTGACTATTTGGGAAGTCGTTCATAACTGTTTGGCTAGCTACCATGGGTAAGTTGTTTGTTGTTACTGAAACAAAGCAGAGGTCGGAATTATACTCTCTATTCCATCTACCTGACTTAAATGTGCCTTTTGATTTAGCATCGAAAACTAAATGGGCGTTATTAGTTTCAGCCCATGATACGAGTATCTCTCCATTTATATTGTTACTGGAATACTTCCAATTCACGTGGTGGCTGTTAAAGTCACCAATGACTATTGTTGAATAAGAGATGTCTCCTAGGATATGGTCTGGCCACATGATAGTTGGTGATTTGTATACGTTAATAATTGTGGTTGGTCTGACATTGACTTTGACAATATGGATGACGATAAAATCAATTATAATTGTTTCATGGTTTATCAAACGATTACAATACTTTTTTTATGTCATAGGCCAGAATGGTAGACACTTTGGAGACTTGGGCCCTAAAATAAAAATTACTTTACTCCATCTTAATGATAATTTAATTTACATAAATAAATAAAATTATATATTATATGTATACGTAAAAACATTCGTATGTGTATAGGATAACATAAGGTATTTTCGAGGTATAGGCTATTTCGTGATATTATGTGTTAAACGTATAATGTTATTCCCTATTACACATATGAGATGAAAATTACATTGATCCTGAAAAACTGTCACTTTAAGGATCTATGCAATTTTCAAATGAATAGTGTAATAGGGAAATACATAATACGTGCAACAAATAATAACACGAAAATATTTTATTTCGATTTATAGGATATATTCAA